GTTGTGTAGAATGTTGTGATGTATTTCTGTTACATAGGTTGGAGGTTAAAGTCTGCTAGAACGAGACCGTTTCCGCTCTGCACCGATCGAGACTAACCCAGATTATGATAGCTGTTGTAAACCGGATGATAAAAGCGCCAGTAACACCGGCTGCAACCTTTTCAGGTGTAACTGAAGCCTCAGCAGTTGAATAGTATAGTACTGTCAAGATATATGCGCAATGAAATGACAAGTTTACGTGAACTGTTTTGAGGAGTCTGAAGGACCGTAGAAATAGACAAAATGGTTGCCAAAAAACAAAAATCCAACCAGAGAAGTGTTAAAGCAGACTGGGTAAGCAGCACTTCCATAAATATACCCAGCAGGTCCCCGGTATATGTGATAGTAGACCATCTCAAAAAGGAAACTTACAGCGCGTTAAGTACCAACAAATTACAACTATATTACCAACTATACGAGAGTATGTGCAGCTGGGAACCACAATATAGACGGATGACTAGACAGTATATCTATGCTTACATAGACTGGGCTACGTGCACCGTGTCGTCGTTCACAAGTGGCATTTTGTGGACATCACCACCAGAGTACACATAAATAAAATAGAAGCAATGTGATTGAGGCGAAAGAATGTTTTTAAACCATGTAAAAAAGGTATACACTATTTTTTTCGTTTCGCATAATATATATTAAGGCTCTATACCGACCGTCTTCTGATTGACTGAAATTTATCAAGATCACTGGTGTTCTTTCAAAAGTCATCCACAAGTTATGCTTTCACCACTGCTGCTGAATTCGACCCGGCAGTTTCCTGTTCATTAATAGATGTTAGATTAATTATCGTCCGCTACATACAACCATCTCATTTTGACATCTGTTTCTCTCTTGACTAGCTGGCACATCAACATATCTGATATGCCTGGTACATACTTATATAATTTGTGCTTCTTAATGTTCCCTGGTCAATCAAAAATGATTATCTTGGGTTACATTTTAAATTGTGCAATTCCCTACTCTCTATCATTATTGTGGCTTTATTTTTCGACTAACTGGGTACATAACTATTATTAGTTTGTAACCAATGTGTATTATACATGTGTGCTTTTGCTCGATATGAATTAGTTTTCATGTGTTTTTCGTCAAATATCGTCGCTACAACCCAAATATTTGGAATTCCGGCACCTCACCAACTCGCAAACCTTACAAAACCATATGTTATCCTTGTGAGTCTAGAAGACTACTGATCGCATTTCTTGTAGCACCATAGAGTGCCTATCACTAATATCATTTACTTACAGACATAATGAAGAGGCATCCGATATTTTACACCGTCTATGTGGATAGTAGATCTGTTCGGTAGTAATGTGACCTCCTAGCTCGTATCGAAATAATACTTCACAGTCACTGTCCAACGTGATATCAAGTTTCTGAGACGACTGTGATGACTCCATGAAACAAATAATGTCTCATCGATGTGATTTTTTGAGTTAAAAAATTTGAAAGGCATGAATTATGGAGTCCAAATACCTGACCCAAGTTGTCTATCCGTGACCTTAACGAAGATCACTAAACTGCTCAACCCTTAGGAATCTTCAGTCCGAAGTAGAAACGGTACAGCATGATGGTCTATTAGGCTTGAACTCAGAAACATTTCGCCGGATTTACAACGTTCTCGCATAAAATGCCTAGTTTGGTTGCTAAACTGATTTTAAAATGTACGATGCATCTGCTGTTTAGTGAATGGGAGAATATCCAACCCGTTTCTCAGTAAAATAGATCTTAGTTACTATGAAATCTCCAGCAATAATAACCCAGGAAAAATGGATGACCCTGTAGTGGCATTGGACAATGATTTTTTTTTGTACTTAACATGTATATGTTTTTCAGTTGCTTTTGCCATATATTTGTAAGTGTCACTAAGCTAAATGCAGTAACTTCTTATGGAAGGTTTATAACGCATCATATTCCTGCCTGAAGTTTCACAAGCAGTCTTAACTTTAAAATTATTTTCTGGTCATGTTCATTATTTTTAAATCGTCATATACGTCAACAACCTGCATGTTAACCTGGCCCATACATACGTCACACTATATCTCCATGTCTTATAAATTTAGAAATCATCTAGATCGCCTTTAACATTTATCAATAAACCCATCATAGTTGTTGTCGCTAATCGTATTTGGGTTTATGGATTGATTTATCATATTAGCAGCCTAAAATGCGAACATAGTTTAAACAATAAGATTAAAAATTTAGGTACTATCAATTGTACCAGTAAAATAACTCAATCCTCAGGTAGCTGTTGGCTAAGCAAACACTTGAAATAAAAACTCCGTAGCCTACTAGAATTAACACTAAACGAATATTTCTGAATTGAAATTTATAATTAAATTAGGCGTCTCGGATTCTTTAACGTTGTAAATTTCTGATGATTTCGAATCACTTAAAGCAACAATACCTATTTTTCCACTGACTAATCCTCAATCAACACTATAACTAATTAAATTTAATAGTTTCAGGATATCGGCATAAAGCATTGTCATAACTTGACAATCACGTAATATGACTGATAAAATTAATGAAACTATTAACGAAATGGGTCAACAAATTGACTTATAATTACCATTAAATGGTGTTGTTTTCTTGGTATCTTCATCCATCACAGATGATTACAGTATGTTTCTCTATCAGTTGCTCATTCAGTAAATATCTCAAAACCTTGTCAGTCTAATTGATGGTTTAGCGACACAATCATGCATGCAAATAATCAGTATAAGCAGTCGAGCAAATCTCCTGCAAACTGAAAATATCAATGTCGAATTTACCCCAACACTGACTAAGGTTCAAGCCATTATCATAGACATGAGTTGGGAGTGTACTCCCCCTGGTTACAACTTATGTTCTCTCTGATAATCACATGAGCATCCCTCACTATTAATCATCTTGTAAAATTTTATTTAGCTAAATACATCTTGCAGCACCACATCACCTCGTAATATGACACAGGCCTAACTGATTTTAATAACTTATAACCACTATATCTCAATTAAATCGTATTCCGCCTTATGATAAACTGCATACTTGCAACTAACTTGTATGCCCAATCAGCCAGCAAGTATAAATATAAATAAATAGTCTGCCGCAGATCAGAACATTGTGTCCAGAGCATGTCTCTTACGAATACACTCATGTTTAACGATTTGTTCCTAGCTATCTGTCCAAAATTCATATAATTATCATGTATTTAAATTTTATTTTGATAACCATTCATGTGTATTAGTAGTATTACTAAATTCTATCACGGTCAAGTAAAAATCAGATTGAGAAAATCTCCCCGTAACTAAATAAACCGTATCAAACTAACTGGAACACTAGTTGGAATTCTTCTCCACGGTATACTTTTGTTCCTTCAGTTAGCCTACTAATACAGATGCAATTGGAATTCAACTCATATGGACAACTAACCGGCATAATCGTTATTTGATTTCATAATTTAAACCAAAACTAATACCAATATTAACATTTCTACAATATTCATCACTTTAATATTTCTAAACACAAAATACTTACTACCTATACGTTAAGTTATTAACCAACGGCTATTAACACGCATCGTTTTATTATTATTATTATTGTAACCCCATTTTTTATAGCTCAAATAATCTTCACCCAAATTTTCATTTTAAGCGTGTCAAGCATGAAGGCAGATTTTTTTTTAAAAATTATTACATGTATTTCCCGACCAGATGCTGCCGCCTTCTTTTTGATTTATCTTTCAGCTTATCATTACCCGGAGAATTCTACCTATTCTTGGTAACCTCCGGCGCGCGACGATCCCATCCAGTTTGGTGTCGAACCAACATCACGTTGATTCTGGTGGGAGAGTAGTGTAGTGGCATTGGACAATAGCCACACAATCCACAAAGCTGTGAACACGAGACTACACAGAAAATAGATATTCAATATTTAACGCGGAGAAATACCCAACGATGGGGAAGGCGCGAATAGTGAATTGAATGGACGGGAGTTGATCGAGTGGCATGGCTCGGCCATGCAGGCGTGGTCCCTGCTGGATGTTATCTTATATCTCCTATTCATATTAAATATATTGTTCTTTCTCTAGCCTAAGCTTGTTCATCATGTATTGGTAGTTGTTACGATACGGTGAGTTGGTGTCGATGATGTGACTTCCACGTAAGATCTTATAGATTAGGCAGTTATATCATGACAAATCTACAATTTTAGGATTAGGTCTATTGTTAGAGCAGTACTAATATCATAGTAGACCATAATTCTACAACCCATCGAAATGGGTATATATCTTAGCGACTATCTTAACAACGAGCTGAAATACCCTAAAATTAAAGTAATATGGGTTCTCAGAAGACTACAAGGCGACACATAACAGAGTAGTCTTCGGTCTCCCGAGTTATTGTTACGAAAACGCGACATATCCATACATTATTGTTCTGTTATCGTAAGCCAAAAACAATGCATTTCAATACAATACAACACACAATTAAATAATGGTTGAATATTAAGAGCGTTTCTGGACAACGTAATTTCCTAGTCTAAAATTCAACTGTGATTTTGGCGAGTATCCTACTCAGTGTGACGACTATACAGAACGAAGCTAACTAAGAAACGAGGCCTTCAATTTATGGATCAGACTACCTAGTATTTGCAACGCGATAGATTCTAGGGTCGTTTGAAACTTTCTCAATAATCAGATATCCATCTAATTCAACATGCTAACTGGAGCTTGAAGATTCCGAAACGCAGTTTATTGTTTAAAGCCGCTCTGTTCTGTTCCCATATACTAGCCATATGTTTCTAGTGACCATGAATTATATATCGTTTTCTCGTTCATAGGGTTCCCGAGTAATCCGACCTTCAGAATTTTGAAAATGCCTTTAGATAATATTTTTTCAATCCAATGACACAATCTCTGCCTCATTCCTCTACAAATTTTGACAATTGAAATTTTCTTTTAAAGCATGCCAATCGTGTTTCTATGGTGTGTCGTCACAACGAAGCTGCCAAATAAGCGTCAGCGCCCAACCAAATATGTTGTCATATTCCAATGAAGTGTTGTGGCAGGATAGGGAAGTTCGCTTCGATGCTCCGCGTTGCGATTTAGTTTTTAGAAATGGAGAGGCAAACTTTAAACTCTTGGAAAATGTCGAAGATGTGAAAGGAAATAATGGAGACAAAGGTATTTGTTTGTATAAAATATAACAAGGCTGTGAAATTTGTTTTTCAGGGGATTTATACATTACCAACTTAAGGTTGCTCTGGATATCTAAGTGTGTAATGCGGAACAGTTTGTGTAGGATTAATTATATGCTATTACTTACACTACTTAAGCTATTGGCTTTGGCTGCATCATAAATATTTGTTTTAAGAATATCAATTCAGTAAGTACATGAGAAGATCCACTTTATGGCTAGAAAGCAGCTGAAAAAAGCCTGGCGGTTGATGTTCTTACTACGTTTTCTGGGACAAGGTATGAATTCATTTTTGCTGAATGCGGAGTTGGTGATTCCAAAATGATGGAGTACATTACAACAGTTTACAAGTTAGTTTCGTCCTCAAAGCCTTCTAAATTCTAAAGGGCATATGATTCCACGAGGATTTATCGAGAGTTACGGGTTCGTGGAGCACTAGTGAAAGGAAACCTTCTTATGTTATTGCCATTAGAAAGTTTATTTGATGAAATAGATGGAGTATGGAATCTTTCATCTGATCAAGTAGTTAAATTTCAGAAGTAGATAAGTTATCAAGGGAAATCTAGGGAAGTTGTTTGTAACAAATTTTCGACTTGTTTGGACATCTATAATTAACGTGAACTTCAATATTAGCATTCCTTTCCTGCAGATAGTAATTATGTCGAAAAATACTAAAATTCTTACTTCAGCAAATGATTGCAACCAGAAAATCTAAGTTTGGAGAGGCACTCGTAATTCAAACTACACGGCAGGTAGGTAAATTCAGTATGTTTTAATATAGTATATAGGTGGTCCTTTATCAAAATTCGAAAGAATATGCTTTACCATAGAACTGATTTTATCTCCTCGATTGAAGTTTATATAAATTATATTAACTCCCGTATCCGCTTACCACGGCTGTAACAAAGAGCCGTAGAGTTGATTGTGGAAAAAAGTTATTATTTAATAAGTCTTACTAATTGTAATCAAACGACGACTAACCGTAGCGTTTAGTTACTAGGTAATTAAAATTAATGATAGAAATACAGTCATACAATCAAGATGACGTAAAACCTGACACATGCGTACATAGGATAAATTTGCCACATCCCGTTAGTATTGCACAATAAAACTGTCAGGGTAAATCTCGGTGTAGCAGCGTTGAAAATAAAGTTAGCAGGGTTCGAAATAATCATTCATTGAAAGCGCGGTTTATAGAAATATCAGTTTGCGAAATAAAAAATTTATGAGGAATTCAGAAGCTTAGAATCTGAGGGAAGAAAAAGAGTTAGTGCACCTGCGACAGTCAAAGCTATTTTGACTCATGTAATTGAAAGTCATTAATCATTGGCTACAACAATCACGCAGACCCCAATCAGCTAGTATACACCTGTCTACATGTTTTAGCCCAAAACTCAATGCTTTCATGAGCCAACACTGTGTCTCGGTTCTGTCACTCCTTACTCCCTCCAACCTACTTCTTCACCAGCCATTATCGCACATCGAGGTATTCGGTGAATAAGTATACGTAATACATCTCCTAATCACCTTGATCGATAAAGATTCGCTTTGAGAAACAAATGCTTATCTCAAGACATGTAAACATCAAAAAGAAAAGCATTATAGCACATAATTGTTTTCAATAACTTCTTTGTCAAACTTCTCAAGTCCAAAACTATTATTTTTGTGTTACAATATAAGGAAAATTACATTTAAACTAATCCATGTTGTACGTTTAAAATGACAGATTTCGCGTTGACTGATTCTTAAACAGTCCAACTTAATAACATAATAAAACAACATCATTGGTATTGTTGAGAAGAGGTTATACATAAAGGCAAAAAGGAATAAGTTTTGATCAAGACAATGGATTCTAGTCAATATGATACAATCGTATGCAAAACAAATTAGCGAACTATAGAAATTATTATGTCAAATTTGTTGTGACTATAATAATGATAATGACAATAATTGTAATGATAGTAATAATACTAAGATTAAGAAAAATTAATAATCGGAGTATCGCGTAAAAAGGTGAGTGTATGACTGGGGATAAGACAAACCTCACGGAAGGGAGGGAGAACAGTGGTGAAGATGGAGACACAGATGGGATTAAGAATCAAACGACTTTTCTTCAACAATATTAATGATGTTGTTTTATTATGTTATTAAGTTGGACTGTTTAAGAATCAGTCAACGCGAAATCTGTCATTTTAAACGTACAACATGGATTAGTTTAAATGTAATTTTCCTTATATTGTAACACAAAAATAATAGTTTTGGACTTGAGAAGTTTGACAAAGAAGTTATTGAAAACAATTATGTGCTATAATGCTTTTCTTTTTGATGTTTACATGTCTTGAGATAAGCATTTGTTTCTCAAAGCGAATCTTTATCGATCAAGGTGATTAGGAGATGTATTACGTATACTTATTCACTGTAATACTCCTCGTTTTCAAATATTATATGGGAATTTCCAAACTTCATAGACATTATTTTGATTCAGTATCCATAAGAGTTTAGGAGTCACTTATCAGTTAATCTATTAAGATGTTTACAACCAAACGTACACATCATTATACTGAGTCTCATTATCTCTATTAAAACCTTATATTAAGGAAACATAACGTACACAGTTTTGGTTACGTCTTTATTGCAAATGTCTCATTCTTTCCCATTTTAAAATATGTATGGTCTTATTTGACTTATGAATTGACTTGTGTGTAGTTCACATCAGGAAAACATTTTAGCATTGATTACAACCTAAAATGCCTTTCGGTTGTAATTTTTTTATGTAAAATATACAGTCTTGGTAGCGTAAGTTCCTTGTAAAATCATGCATCAGTTTACGTTAAGAAACCTGTCTATTCTTAAAGGCAGAGTTTTCAGTCCTGTACAAATTATTGGAATCCGAAAAATAATACTAAGTCTTAGGTTAGTATAATACAAGAACTTCAGTTCAAGGTACAGCAATGAACTAGTCAAAGTGGTTACTAAGCAAAGACAATCTATATCTGCATTTTGTTTTGCTTTCAGGCAGGATCATGTCTTCTTGGGTTTCGAATAGATCCACGCGAGCGTCTCAATAAAGTAGCGAAGCAACTTGGTAGTTTACATAGCATTTATTGGAAAAACCCTGTTCTTGGAATTACTACTGGTCAAACAAAAGATGAGACAATACAAAATGTATGTAAATATGGGATGAATATATATATATATATATATATATATATATATTGAAAGGGAAAGTGACATCTTTAAAGGTGCCAAATATGTTTGATTTACCCTCTGTTTCTGTATCTTACGACCGATAAGAAATGTATCTTATAGACATATTATAAAGAGCATACTCTCAAAAAATAATATAAGTTTTTCAAATTTAGAAAAGCGTTTCGTCCTTGTTACTCAAATCTTGTTATCCCGTACGTTTATTTTGAACAGCTAGGGGATAGTCTGTTTCAACGGAAAAATTTGTTAGTCAACTTCAGACGACCGAAAATGTAAAGGTAGTTGACTTAAATACATTTAAGTATTTATATCGAAAATGTGATAGTATATAAAATGGATGTGTGTCTATTTGTTTTGAAAGAGAATATCTGATTAAAGTTTCAAATGAAACGATTATATATAGAGTTGAATAACTACATTCTGGGTCATATCTCTTACACTTCATTGGAACGAATTTGAAATACGTGAGGGCGCAAATATGACTTAATTTTATTATTCAAAGGTCATAGTCGGCATTCCTAGTTAAATGTATCCCCAAAAACATTGTATCTTATGCTTTCCAGCGAAACTTAATGGACTTTTATGCTGTCAAATGTTGCCGTTCGTGATAACAAGAGTCAAGTGGCTAAGTTTGCCTTGATATTATTTAGATGAACACAAGAAACATATTGTAATGAACGAACACTCAGGTAGGAACAACCAATGTATTGTTTCGTACAAAGTTACAGAATATCTTTGTAAAATATGAGGACCGTAAGTTGAATACTTCATCTGCAAATTTCTGTCATTTGTCTTTTACATTCTGTATGATCCTTCCAGTTTACAATTCCTTCCTATTACCTTCAACTCAATCTTCTTAGCCTTCTGCTGCCAGGTATTCCACTTCCGATTGATATGCCCCCAAATGCCCTGTTATGGCCGAGAGTCAGTCAGTCAGTAACAACGTAGAACTTCGTGAGTACGTACATCAGTCCGAGTTGCCACATCACATTAGCACAGAGATGTAGTTGTCGATTCAAACCCCGAGAGTAGGGAGAGTTAGCTCTCCCTCTCATAGTTCCCTCACATAACCACGCGTATACAACCACTGCCAGGAAAGTCCTACTCACTGCCTTCTCGTGGCGGAAGTGCTCTTTACGACATTGAGAGGACGAAAAGTGAACGTCTGCCACTTTAACCGGGTTGGTGAATATGGGAGGTTTACTCAGGAGGGATTGGAAAACACCGATTCCAATCAAATAGTGCACATGGGCTCCAATATCCTGAAGGAACAAATGGCGTATGAACCAATCTTTGGTCACCGCATACCATGGGACTGCATCTCCTCACGATGCTCCACTGCCTTATGGATCAGACCTTAAGGTCAAAGGCTCGAGGTGTGGCCCCCTAAGAAAACCACCTGCTTCGGTCTGGGCACCTGGATAATATCACAGCCCACACACGAATGAAATGAAAATGACGATATTTACCGAAAATTCTGTTCACACTTCGATTTACAGTCAAACAATTCAAATTATTATTATTATTATTATTATTATTATTATTATTATTATTATTTACTACGTCGTTCATTCACTCTCTTTTATTCCCCCCTTTATGTATCCTTATTTTTCCACTTATACAGCAGCTTGCCTATGGTGGAAACTTGGTTCTATCTAAACGTTCTCGAGTCACAGTTTGGTTGGAAATTTAATGCTACCACCAAATATGAATACTGAAGCAGTTTTCCTGGAATCACGTGCACCATTCAAACTGACTGCCTTCAACGTTCGCACACTTATGCAGATCAAACAACAGATAGGGCTGGCTATGTCTTTGGAAAGTCTTAATATCGACGTGTGTTGTCTATCCGAGACCCGTATTCAAGACTCTGGTGAAGTACCACAAATTCGCTCTCCATCTGTTGCCTCGAAAAGCTTGTTTTACGTGCACTTATCCGGGGACCCTGTGGCATCTTTGTCTGGTCTTGCTGGCGTTGGTGTCGCACTAAGCGCTAGAGCTGAGGCAGCACTAATCGATTGGATCCCCATTAACAGTCGGTTATGTGCTATTAGATTAGAAAGTTCCATCAAAGTGAGAAGAAATCGGCGTGAGAAACGATGTCTTTTCGTCATCTCCGCCTATGCCCCGACAGATTGCAGCCCGGATGCAATCAAGGATGAATTCTACCACCAGTCAACTGTTCGACAGATATTGTAGTACTAGCCTGAGACTTGAATGCTCAGGTCGGGCGTCTAGGCACAGAAAAGAGTCGTTTTGGTGGCCGATGGGGACTTGTTGGTCGCAGGACAGATAACGAGGACCATCTACTCTAACTGTGCACAGACCACAACCTGTTTCTGGCCAGAACTAACTTTCGGCACAGTCATCGCCGATATGCCACCTGGCGTCCTCCCTCTGCATCTCAAACCTGGACTCAGATTGATCACATCGCGATCAGCTACCACTGGCGTGGTTGTGCACAAGACTGCCGCTCCTTTAGGAGTACCTATCTGGACTCTGATCATTCCCTTGTCTGCGCTAATCTTACCTTATTTTTCAGTAGTCAACAAATTCCTCGTCCAAAACGGATGGGTGTCAGTAAATTGGTTGCAACTTCTGTTGCAACTAAATATCAAACGGAGCTAGTTTCTAGGCTAGCTACCATTCCACTGAAAAATATAGATGAGCATTGGTTGCAACTTCATGATGTCACCAAAATGGCGAGTAAAGTCGCTTGCGGCTTCGCTAAACGTCCCGCTTATGTGCACTGGGTTTCTTCTGGTTCCTTACAACTCATTGAAGCCCGTCGGTCTACTCCGGGTGACCGTGAGTTTGACCATAAACGAAGGATGTTACGTAAGGAAATTGGGCAAAGCTTGCGTAAGGACCGAGAAGCCTGGTGGTCGATGCGTGCTAATGAGCTGGAAGCAGCAGCTGCATCTGGTAACTACCGGAAGCTCTTCCAGCTCATCCGAGCCACTGGCAGCAAGAAGTCTGGTGTGAGTGAAACAATCTGCGAGGATGATGGGATGCCAATCACTAACATCCATCGACGTCTTGGACGATGGGCAGAATTTTTCGAAGGGCAGTTCAACTGGCCTGCTGCTCCGGCAACATCGGTCAGACTGTCCTGCCCTCCATGGCCGGTGACGACTGATCCACCAAATGAGGAGGAAGTCCGCAAGGAACTCCAACTCTTGAAGCGTTACAAATCACCTGGCCCAGATGACTTACCTCCGGCTCTTTTTAAAGATGGTGGTGACTTTTTGACTAAGGAATTGACGACGTTGTTTACAAAGGTTTGGGAACTAGAGTGTGTACCAACGTCATGGAATGAGTCGATAGTTGTCCCTATCTTTAAAAAGGGTTCACGTCGTTTCTGTAACAACTATCGGGGGATAAGTCTACTTCCGATTGCGTCCAAGCTATTGGCTTCCGTCATACTTCGTAGGTTGTTCAAAACCCGAGAAAGATTGACTCGCGAGGAGCAGGCTGGGTTTCGTTCTGGTCGAGGATGTATTGATCATATCTTCACCCTCCGCCAAATGTTAGAACACCGCCATACTTATCAAAGGCCAACAATCGTAGTGTTTCTTGACATCAGGGCTGCCTTCGATTCGTTGGACAGGACTGTTCTCTGGGATTGTCTATTGAAGAAGGGTGTGCCTGAGAAGTTTATTAACATCCTAAAAGCCCTATATAAAAACACCTCAGGCAGAGTGAGGGCATACAACCACCTCTCTCCATTGTTCCATTCGAGCAGTGGGGTTAGGCAGGGTTGCCCAATCTCACCATTCCTCTTCAACTTTGCCATCGATGACATTCTGGAAACAGCTCTGATGAATGTAAGTAATGGTGGTGTGGATCTGTTGCCTGGAGAAAGACTTCTCGACCTTGAGTATGCGGACGATATTGTCTTACTGTGCGATAATGCCCAAGGCATGCAATCCGCACTTAATCAGTTGGCAATCAGTGTCCGTAGGTATGGTATGTGCTTTGCACCTTCGAAGTGCAAAGTACTTCTACAAGACTGGCAGGATTCTAATCCTGTACTCACCCTGGATGGTGAGCAGATAGAAGTAGTCGAGAAGTTCGTGTATCTAGTTGCTGCATAAGTGCGAAAGTCAGAGCGGCCTATGCCAATCTGGGCCATCTTTGGCGCCTTATTGATGTCAGTCTGGCTGTATAAGGTCGGATCTACAACGCGCCGGTGAGAGCAGTTCTGCTCTATGCTTGTGAGACCTGGTCTCTCCGAGTTGAGGATGTTAGACGACTCTCTGTGTTTGATCATCGTTACCTCCGAAGGATTGCTGACATCCAGTGGCAATACTATGTTGGCAATGAAGAGGTTAGGCATCGTGTGTTCGGGCACAGAGATGATAATTCAATTGGTGTCACCATCTTGAAACACCGACTTCGGTGGCTTGGACATGTTCTAAGAATGTCGTCCCAGAGAATTCCACGTCGTGCATTATTTACCGACTCTGGGACTGGTTGGAAGAAGCGGAGAGGTGGTCAGTGTATGACATGGTGTCTTGGTATGAAAGAAAGCTGTGGAGGGCTGGCTTGTGTTGGTCCTTCACGGCTCCCCGGCTGGGGTTCTAGAGATGGTGCAACAGAGTGGCTAGCGACGTTATCAGATATGGCTTAGAATAGAAGCCAGTGGCGACCCTGCTGTAACCTTCTTTTACTTTCTTCATAAAAAGTGGTTGTATCTTCCTTAACTGAAAGACTTCTTCTAGTTGTACCTTTCCGTTTCCTACATTATTATTATTATTACACTGCCCTAAATTGTTTTGTGTGGCGCATATATATTTGGTGCCCCCTTGTAACAATATTTGTGTTCAAATAAATAAAAAAATACGATTAGTGTTTTCTACGCGCCCAGTGGTGATACCGAGGCTAAAAGATGATTTACCTAGAATGACCACCTCATTTTGTAATTATCACTTCGACTGCTCTTGTGGAGCAAGTTATATTGGTCGAAGTTTCAGGGATTTACATTTTCGTGCTTGCGAACACCTACCAGTGAGGCTAAGCGACGGTCTAGTGAAGAAAGTGAACAAATTGATATTGGCTCATTTAGTGCAAACTGATCATAGTGCTAGTATAAACCAATCATTTTCAGCTATTTATCGGGTCATCAAGATTTTGCCATAAGTGCTGGTGGGCGCACGAGTGATGAGATCAATGCACGTATAATGAAAGTCAGAGCTGTTTATGCCAATCTGGGCACCTTTGGCGCCTTCGTGATGTCGGTCTGGCTGTAAAAGTTTGGATCTACAACGCATCGGTAAGAGCAGTTTTGCTCTATGCTTGTGAAACCGAAGGATTGCTGACATCCAGTGGCAATACTATGTTGGCAATGAAGAGGTTAGAAATCGTGTGTTCGGGCACAGAGATGATAATTCAATTGGTGTCACCATCTTGAAACACCGACTTCGGTGGCTTGGACATGTTCTAAGAATGTCGTCCCGGAGAATTCCACGTCGTGCATTATTTACCGACTCTGGGACTGGTTGGAAGAAGCGGAGAGGTGGTCAGTGTATGACATGGTGTCTTGGTATGAAAGAAAGCTGTGGAGGGCTGGCTTGTGTTGGTCCTTCACGGCTCCCCGGCTGGGGTTCTAGAGATGGTGCAACAGAGTGGCTAGCGACGTTATCAGATATGGCTTAGAATAGAAGCCAGTGGCGACCCTGCTGTAACCTTCTTTTACTTTCTTCATAAAAAGTGGTTGTATCTTCCTTAACTGAAAGACTTCTTCTAGTTGTACCTTTACGTTTCACCCATTATTATTATTACACTACCTTACACTAATTTGGTCGTTATTGTTGTTTTTTTCTTTTACGCTCCTTACCTTTTGTTTTCTCTTCCCATTCTCATTGTTTGTGTGGCGCACATATATTTGGTGCCCTCTTGTACCAATATGTATGTTCAAACAAACAAATAAATAATGAATAAATCCGGTTGATATTACATGCTTCTTATGTCTGTCGACAAGTAGTATTAACCACAATATTCCGGGCACCTCATGTGATAATTATTAACATAGGATTACTAAGTATCTATACAAGTCATATTATCATTTATCCCAGTTAAAATCACACTCAGATTTACGTTTGACAGGCAGGAATATTGAGATATTTCCTTTAGCCTAGATGGAATAAATCGAAAACCCAACTACATTACAACAGTATTTACCACTGATTTTGCTGCAGAGGCGGTAGCAGTTCAACAATTCGAACCTGAGCTATGTCCTAAAGCGTCACATTCAACGTGTCACCACATGTGATTTCTCACGCAAAGTCAATTGATGAGTGATACTTTGTTTTAATGTTCCTAATTTTTGATTACCACCTGAATGTGTTTAATTCATTCTTCATTTTTCTCATACTCCCTAAGTGGATGTTTACCTTTTACGCATTTCGTTTTATCTAATTATTTTTCTTTTACTCTTCGATCATAACGCAACCTTATCTTGGTTCTGGAAATTATGTATTACTCTTAATATTTTACAACAGATTAAGTAGGGTAACAGGTGTAAAATTCTGACCCCGACACATTGATAACTCAGACTAAAAGGGTGATTTCTTAATAAGATAAAATAGTACCGGCAATATATTAACTTACTGAATATAGTAAATCAAAACTGAGCATCAAGATAGGGTAACATCAATTTAATGTAGATGTAAATGTTACTTAAATTACGAAACTCTCGTAACAGTTTAACATGTTCATATTTGCAGATTAAAATTATGTGCTATTCCATGTAGACAGTCTAGTATCAATCTGTTTTCGTAATCTTCTATGACCAGTTTGGTACACATTGTTACTTCCTTATACTTTCTGTCCTGTTGTTGGATTCCTGCAACAAACCGTCCGATTTTCAATTGATTAATACTTCCTTTTTGAGAGGGCAATTTAGTACATTTAAAGGACTCTAATTTGGTAATGAATATTGACTGTCATGTCGTATGCGCTGAATGATGTGTTTGATTAGATTAACAGCTGAAAACCGAGCCGACACTGCATACGACAAACTGGCTGACAATATAGCCACAATTTGATGTGCTGCCTCTGTAGAGATATCTCCTCGGTCTCTTATGTTGACTGACCTTTTCGCATCTATCTTAGTTGTATCTGGAATGTGATTGTGTTACATTGGCGTCTTAACATCATAATATTCGATCCATTCAATTTCTCTTTACAATACATCTCCATTGGCTAATATTTTATCAACGGATTTTCTTTGTGAAACTTTTTTTCTTAACCATAGGTAAAGAAAATAAATGAAGACATAGATGAATCTAGAGGTCGAACTGCTGAAGATCACTGTGATATTCTTTCAGTAAGTCGTTAAATATAATAAGTCGCACCAAAAGCTTTTTTCCAGTAAACATTGATTTGCAAAATATATAGCTCGTACATTTTAAGACTTAAACATCTTAAAAACTGATAAGCAGAATATTTATTCCTCAAGTCTATATCACGTAACTGTATTAAGACTGTTCTATAAGTAGTACCATGAAGCCATAATAACCATAACATATCAACCAACCATCCCTGTCCAAAGACCATTAGGATTATTTGGATGCCCACTCCAACAATATGGGAATAAAAACAGGTTTGTGTATCAGTAATGTCCGGTCCTCCAAATACAGTTATTCGGATACACATGAAATTCCTGTAATCTCATGGTACGTAGGCAATTTTATGATCAAAATTAGACATGATTCAGCAATAACACGAATTTGCATGATAGGTCGTAAACACGTATGGTAAAGGCCCCTTAGATTAAGGAATTGCATCAACTAAAGGTAGTTTGATGTTGAACCAACGATGTAGTTGTAACTGGCACTTAGCACATTGAGATTCTGTTTCAGCAAAATGATTATAATATCCGTAGCTATACCACTTACAGAAATATTCGTTTTTCTACCGCAGCAGTATCATTTGTGGCTTTTACCTAATACAAGCACTTAAAGCTGACAGACAGATAAACAAATAAATGCCCACAACAAGATTTTACGCTAAAACTCTACTATTTTTTACATTTTACAAAGGTTTATCTAGCGGATGGAACTAAACTAAAAGACAGAGAGCCAGTGTATAACGAGGACCTCGGCCTTGCTGTCGAACGTCTACCAGAAAACTACACTATATCTGACTTGTGGAAGATAATACCAGAAAGGAAAAAAGATAAATGATTTTCATCAAAGGAATTTATCATAATCCTGACCATCTTTACAAATAACAAATAAATATTACAAATATGTAAAGAATGTCCTTGTGTATAAACTCAACCACCGTGCAATGAAGATATAAATATAACTTTATCCATTTCCTTCAAAATATAGTCATTTTCACCCAATAAACTGTAATCCACATCATTGATTAAAATGAGAATTCCAGGTCGAACGCTTTTCCCTTGTAAGAAGAGTTCAGGACGTTCTTTTAAAAGATTTTTCTCCAACCAAACAAGCAAATCACCTAGTCGAACCACTGTTGGTGGTAGGTCAACTTGATATTCTTTTTGCTTGTTGAACAAAAGTTCAGCCCCACCGGAAAATTCAATATCAAGTCTCATCCAATTGTTATGATCTGAAAGGAAATAAACGAAAGATCAATGCATCCCAGATGAAAAAATTATATGGTCGCCAGATCTTAGAAAAAGATTCCGTAAAAAGAACTTGTGCTTTAAAACAGGTTATGAAGATAAAAAAGACTATTTTGATAGGTGATGAAGAGCCACGCACTTATCACAAATTGACAATTTCAAGATCCCTATACACTTTAAAAACAAAGAATTTTTTGAGCGAACAGTTTTCAGAAAGTTTGTCATCAGGTTCTAACGCTTTATACATCTATAATCTTTGTGTTACAGTGGGCAAAATTAAGTAAATATGAATTAATAAATTAAACAATGTTAAGAATGTGAATTTTCGTATCGGTTAAGGTGTAAATATATCTGGTTTATGTCATTTGTAAATTTAACAGGTCATTTAGAAAAGGGGCAGGCAAACCGTTATAAGATATCGAGTTGTAATCAATGTAGTAGAATAAATCACGTAAATGTGATGCATAACTGGAGAAATATTGTCTGAATGACTGAGGTAATAATTATAACCCAATCACGTGGATAAAATGTGGAATTGTGTAGACATGCACAGACGAAGAATGAAACGGCAGAAAAACGTAAAGGAAATTAGGTAAGGCATTCACCGAATACATGGAATATGATGCTAGACTCACTGAAACAAAATGTGAATTTTATTATAAATTTGCTACTATTTGGTCGATTATACTTATTTAAACTGCTAGGAAACAATTGTCCCTATTCTTAACCGGTACTGTTCGAAATCAATTACAATGAGATGTATGAGTCTCTGTACCAATTTTCTGGATTTTAATCAGTCTTCGTAGTTTTTCAATAAGAACATGAAATACGCTAACTATAACAGACACGCTGAAAATTCTGCTCAACTTTGTCTTCTCATTGCATTATCGAAATTTATCAAAAAAGAATAATTGTTTTAAACTTTTAACTATAAAAAATAAACAAGCCATTAGATTAAAAAGTAATAACTGATTAACTATATTTACACTTTCAGATTGGATGTAAATTCTAACAAATAATGACTCATTAGATAAGTGTAAGAATTTGGTAAATAATGAACACTAACAGAGAGTTACTAAAGTTTAAAAACAAGACACGTAAACATCACATAATAATGCATCAGTTTACAACTTCACACTTTCTAATTTCATAGAAGGAAAAAACTAACGAAATAAAAACAACAAAATGAACAGACATAAAGAGAGGAGACGAACTAATATATCTTTATGAATGCGTCTGCGTTGTGACAAATTGTTCTAAGCTATGATACCTACAACTATCACTCGACTATTAACTCTTTGGAGCTTATATCATATAAATTACTATCCGGTAGCTTAATGGACTGATATCGTATCTTAGTATAGTGAGTTAGACTTTGATATATTCCTGATTTAAGCAGTCAGATGATGAATCGATATATGGAATATGTAATAAATATTAGCTAGTGCACGATAACCTCAAAGACAAACTTTTGTTAAAGTTATACATTCAACATCAACATCACTAACATAAATGATCACTACATAACAATAGTGCGTTGAAGACACTTATGATCGGATACTTGTTTACAATCAATTCACATCAACTATCTTTAGTGATTTCAAACACATAGTTCCCTTTATTATTTTAAAGGGAGCAAGGACGAAGATTGGTGCAGAATAATATGAATCCATTTTATTTCGTTAGGTTCTCATCAGCTGCTTACAACCTAAAATATTTGAAAATCAACGTTACTACTGATATTGACATACTTAAACATACGAGGGTGACTGAAGATGAATATATGTATCATGATGCAGCGAAGATTTCAATAGAGTTAATAAGGTCATAAAAATTTTTGTTTCGGATTAATAAAGTTTGAAAGCGAAAGTTCCAGAACATTGAAATAGAGATTAGGACTCATGAAGTTAACAAACACTAGATAATTGTGCAATGAAGCAACTGAAAATAGATTAATAGTAACAAAGAAATATATGAATTGAAGGAAAATGACAACGAAGTAGTTCAAAATTCAGAAAGAGTTGAAATAACGGATGACGTAATAAATAAAAAGAGGTTTAATGTTACCAGGGCAAAGAAAGATTTACTACTGTCTCTTTTTGGATACATAGATCTGGTTTTAGACGTCTGATTTCTTTCGCTTAGGCAAACTTCAAAAGGTTGGAGTTTGATTGTTCGTTAATCACCTTGAAGGACTTTAGTGTATCGACTTCATGTCCTGTATCAAGGAGATGTCTTGCGATGGCATTGTTGAATGCTCTTAATCCATTTGACTTTAAACTTGCCGGAATATGTTCTTTGAATCGGACGTAGGCTCTCCTTCCTGTTTTACCAATGTAACTGTTTTGGCAGATACATGTAAATTTGTACACACAGTTGGTGGTAACGTGAAAGGGATACCTACCGACCTTTGATTGTGTTAAAGAAATGTTGTTTTGGACAGGAAAATTAGTTTAGCTGCAGGATAAGTTCTTGTCAATGCAGTTTTTAGTTCCATATTGATTGACCATGTGACATCATCACCTTTGAATTTAAGTTGGATAAAAATTGGTTTCTTATTTGCTGCAGTTTCTTTGGGTTTTTTTATCTTCACGTTTTCCATATTTCTCAACAAATTTCAGTGTGTATCCGTTATTCTTTAAACATTTTTTAACATTCATAACATCCTCTTTAAATGTGTCGGCAGTATATATTCTTTCTGCTCTATGAAAGTGTTTTGATAAGTGCCTTCTTGTAACTGATTGGACAAAAGCTACTGAAATTGAGATAAACCCCGTTCCATGTGTTTTTCTTCTAAACTGAGCGTTGAACTGTCCCATCTTTCCTTCGTTTGATTGCGATATCGAGAAAATGGAATTTGTTCTCATTTTTATGTTCCATAGCAAAATGGATATTTGGATGGGTTTCGTTGAAAAGTTTTAGTAGATTTATTAATGTTTTTGATTATTACATACGATGAAGGTATCACCAACATACATCGAATAATACACTATTTCATCAATCGCTCCTTTGAGCTTGGTTCTTTGGAAGTTAGCCATGAAAAAATCTGCTACGATAGGACCTAACGAACTTCCCCATTGCTACACCATAGGTTTGTCGGTAAATGATATTGTTGAACTGGAACTTAACATCTTTTGCGCACATGAGTAACAGTAGTTTGAATCTTGATGCTGGTAGAGGTAGAATGTCAAGATGCTGGCAAATTATGTCTATGGTTTCAAAAAGTGCTATTTTTGTAAACAATCATGTCTCATCAAAAGAAACCATAAAATTACTAGCAATATTTTTGTGGTTCATGCTACCAGAAAATCCAAATGAATCCTTTACTGCATTCGTGGCTAATCGTTAGTGAAAGCATTCAAAAGCTAATAAGAAACAAGGAGCTTACCACTACATAAACTTGTCCTCCTAAGTGCTTAAACTTAGCTTACTACATAGGTGTATCATAATGATATATGCCAAATAAAATCTTCGTACCAACGGTAATATTTTATCAACCACGCAACCTTTATGATCAGTGCACATCCGAAAAATTATTAACCAGTCTCTTATTTCCAAACTAAGTGTCAACAGATACGAACACTACAGCATAGAAGGTAGGTGGTGCATTAATCAAATGAGGTACGCAGACAGATAATATAAATTGTGTGATAATTTTAGAGGTTATGAAGGTTTATATAAGATTACTGGAACTTCGAGACCAACAGGTTGGATTCCGTAAGCATCTGTCAAGTATAGATCGAATCGCAACTCTACGGATCATTGTGGAATAATCAGTCGAATAGAATTCGTCGCTCTACATCAACTTCATTGACCACGAGAAAGCATTTGATAGCGTGAACAGAACAACACTATGGAAGCTTCTTCGACAATACAGAGTGTCTCAGAAAATAGTCAATATCATACGGAATTCTTATGATGGATTAAACTGCAAAATTGTGCATGGACGACAGTAGACAAACTCGTTCAAAGTAAAGACCGGTGTCAGGCAAGGTTGCTTATTCTCACCCTTTCTCTTTCTCATGGTGATCGACTGGATCACGAGGACTTCAACATCTGAAGGGAAGCACGGGATACAGTGGACATCTAGGATGCAGCTGGACGATCTAGACTTCGCAGATGATCTGGATCCTCTATCGCAAACGCAACAACAAATGCAAGAGAAGACTAGTGTAACAGCAGTCTCAGCAGCAGTAGGTCTCAATATACACAAAAAGAAAAGCGAGGTTCTCCGATACAACACAGCATGCACCAATCAAATCACAATTGAAGAAGATTTGGAAGATGTAAGAACCTTTACATATTTGGGCAGCATCATTGATGAACACGGTGGGTCTGATGCAGATGTGAAGGCGTGGATCAGAAAAGCAAGAGCAGCATATTTACAATTGAAGAACACCTGGAACTCAAAACAATTGGCAACCAACACCAAGGCTAGAATTTTCAATAAAAATATTAAGACAGCTCTTCTCTATGGAGCGGAATTCTGGAGAACAACGAAAACCATCATCCAGAAGATACAGGTGTTTATTACCAGCCGTATACGTAAAATACTTCGGATTCTTCGGTCAGATACTGTCAGCAACAACCTGCTGATGGAGAGAACAAACCAGATTCTAGTTGAGGAAGAAATCATGAAGAAGTGCCGGAAGTGGATAGGACACACATTGAGGAAAGCACCAAACTGCGTCACAAGGCAAGCCCCCACTCAGAATCCCCAAGGTCAAAGGAGGAGAGGAAGACCAAAGAACACATTACGCCAGGAAATGGAGATAGACATGAGAAGAATGAACAGGAATTGGATGGGACTAGAAAAGAAGGCCCAGGACAGAGTGGGTTAGAGAATGCTGGTCGACGGCCTATGCTCCATTGGGAGTAACAGGTGTAAGCAAGTAAGTACTGGAACTAAAGATTGATAAGATGGGTTACGCAATAGTTGAGCAGGATTTGAAGAGTTTACATAAGTTCGGAGAAAGTAAGAGAATTTCACAACAGGATCGACACTTGCTTTTATTCGCAGACATTTTTGATAACAACTCATGCCACAGTGTTGCACAATAGTCATACACTGACCACCTCTTCACTTTTCCAACTAGTTCCAGTATCGGCAAATAACATGCGATGTGGAATACTCTGGAACGACATTCGTGGCACGAATCCAAGCCACTGAAGTCGGTGTTTCAATGTAGTGACACCAAAATGAATTGTCGTCACTGTTCCCGAACGCATGTCACCAAACCTCCACGTTATTAACATGTCACTGAATGTCAATCATCCTTCGGAGACAACGATGGTCAAACA